CACAGCTGGCATCGGATCAAGATTAAGCATAATACCATCATGTACATAGTTTTAAAAATAAAGTTTTGGTTTTAAAAGCCTATTGGACTAAAACCTTAGCTACAGGCAAATTTATCAAAACTAATTTATAAAACTATGCTAGCGACAACCTCTAGTTAAGCTCAATTAATGACTACTAGATGGCTAAGTAAACTGATACTAACTATGGAGGATTTACTTAATTGCAATTTTTATTTCGTCGTCCATACGACGTGATATTGTATGGATGCAATTCGCTTGAGTTGTAATGTATGGATCAATATACCTCTACGTCTAGGTAAGATGGTGAGTGGCATGACCACAAGATGTGATCGTGCGGTCAAATGGGAGAGGTAGTTTTGATACTTAAGTATATATATCTCATATATATACGAAAGTATTTAATTGTGGGTTAGCTTTGGTACGGCTATATATGCATATTCTATATGTATGTATAGACATATTTACTTTTGGGTAGCTTTGATACGAAAGTATATATATGTGGGTATATATATATATATATGGAAGTATTTAGCTTGCAACCTAGAGCCTAGACTTTCATTTCTGCATATATATAATTGTGGGGTTGGGCTAAAATAAAATCCTTCTGCAGGTACGCTAACCACGAATGCGTAGATTGAATGTAGCTGACGACTAGCTATATATCAAGAGAATACATGTTATGCCAGCGACATAGAACATGTTTGCCACCTTAGGCTGGCAATTTTGTGAGGACGAATAGGACGGTCATGCATCATGATTGTGCTTGTGCATAAATATGCTTTCCTCATTTTGTTCTAATACTAAGTAACTTGTGATCAATGTGATGTTGCTATCTTCCCTGTGTGAAGCTAGGCAAAATGCCTTGTTCCATGCCGCTTGAATAGCTGTGCTTGAAGATAGTGTGTGATTAGCTTTGCCTTGTATGTTTGCTTCCAAAGGAAATAGATGACAAGTTAGTAGTTACAAAAAACTTCACCCCTTTGAAAACTAAAACCGGTAGTGATACCTTGTTAGAAGCCTGCACATGCTTTTCTTTTAAATATAATGTCAGGTTCTTCCTTTCAAGTTATCTTCACATTAGTTCTTTAGACGTGTGGATGCTCGTTATCTAGGTAGTGCCGTAGCTGTCACCCCTTTTGTCCTCGGTAAGCATACGAGTGTTGAAGAGCGCTATCCTGGAATAGCGTCCAAGTTTTGATAATCTCATGGTTGTCGTCTCCAATTAAGTTCTCTTTTAGGAGCCTGAGCCTTTGCTTGACCTTAAGCCCAAGCTTAGTTCCCTTGAATGCTTGCATATGTCGTGGTTGTCTCGCTCCTGTGTGGGAGGACCCTGCTCAAAAATCCTTGTCGGACCTCATTGCTCCTTCTCCTATAGATGATCTGGTGCAATGCTAATCGCTATCTACCCTGGCTTTGAAACCTTTTCCTCACAGATCATGTCGTTGCTTTATCAACTGAATCCCTAGTCCGTGCATTGGCTCTGTCCCTCGAATCTCATTTGTTTTGTCTCCAACTCTTTCAAGTCTCTAGATATTTATCAGTCTTGATCTCATGTTGCTGCTCGACAAGACCAAAAATCCCATATTTACTTTCAAGGAGTGCGTGAAAATGAAGCAAGAATCTCATGCTCAGTTGTCTTCATTAGCTAATCTATGTTTCTCTTGTGCCATGTCTTTACCTTGGACCACCCCTTATTGACTCCTAACCTTGTGACTACCTTTGCTTGCTATCTCTCCTTCGCATAGTGCTTGCTCCTATGCAACCCAATTTGTGCCACGTGAGATTTCTTGTAGGTTGTATGTTCGGTAATGGTGTCTTGGTTAATGACTAACGGTGTCGCAGCGGAACCTAGGGCCTCCTTGTGGGTGGCCAGCACATGGTTGTGCTGCTGGGTGCGCGCTGGTATCAAGGTTTCTAGTCATGATCCATTATGAAAATACACCGATGAGTTATCTTCTCATGAGCTTTTCCTTGGTTATCTTTCCTTACCTTGTCAGAAGATCTATACGTCGAACCTGATGCAGTAGGAGAGCTTCCTTCTGAAGATGTCTAGAGGATAACCTTGAAGAACAGGTCACTGACATAAACATTAACAGACTACAAGAGGTGGTAGACAAGTGACTCTACTTGACTGTCCCTGTAATGACGTCGGTCATCTAGTGAGCAACTTATGTCATCCCCGTTGGATCAAAAAGGTGCACCACACTTAAAGTTGAATAAGTTATCAGTCGGATGATAAATGGACCGGGATATTATGTGCTGTAATAGGTCACCGGTGCTCATGAGCTTCCTGTTCAAGTTCTTGATCTTTAGGTGCGAGATGATCATGTAGTAAAAAACCGACCTTCTTCGGTGTGACCCCTTCTCTGCTGACTTCCATGGTGATTGTCTGTTTGCACATCAACTACGATTGTTGCCGTCAAAAAGAAGTTTTGAAGCTTTTTAAGTGTTGAGAGACAACTAATTAGTTACTAGTAGGAAGGTTAATCTCTAGCTAGGTAACGACTCGTCGGTAGCTATAAAGGCTATGTCTCACAGAACAATGACCAACAAGGAGTTGATCAACTCTTCAACGGCCTGAGTGGCACTCTATCTTCTAGAGCCGCTGTGATCAAGTCAATTCCATCTTGAACCATCACATAGTGAGTGCAAAATGCTGCATCAGCTAAGTAAAGAGCTAGAGAAAGCATGTCCCTAGTTTCGGTCAGCATCACTATGCATCTAGGTGCTGCAAAAGGATTTGTTCAGGACCCTATTGGATGAAGCACATGAGGATAGTTAGAAATGGTCCCTTATCTTTGCCAGACTGCCCCTCTACATGTAGTATGCATTGTGCCCTGCAAAAAACAGCCCACAAGTCTAGTGCTTGTGTATCGTCGAGTTGGTGTCTAAATCAACGGTTGAGGTTGTTTCCTAAGAGGCATGTAAGGAAAAACCCATGTGGGCATCTCATCATTTCATGTGATCAACACCTTCTCTTGAGTGCCACCATGCTTCACACTTGGATTGCATCAACCTAGCTCATTTCACAACTCATGACAAAGGTTAGTGTATAGGTTTCATCAATTATCCAAAACAAAACTAGAGCTTTCACACCCCTAACCCGCACAAGCCCGTGGTCGCGAAGGTCGGCTCTGATACCATTTGTAATGCCCCAAAGTCTAAACGGCTAAGATCTACTCTGCACGCTGAGCGAACCACACCTACCACCATCCCACTTACGCTTTCATCCTCGCTTCACGTAAAAGGATTAACCCGGGGATGGTGGGATGGACTTTGAAAGCCTTATATGTTGGTCTATCCCACTTTTAACATCCAAGGTGGGACTAAATTATCCACAATATGTCATTAACATGCACAAGGACCACTATGGGCCAAATTCTAAACTAGGCCTGATGTCACATGTTAGGATTAGTGAAGGGACTATTTAGCTTTACGTACCTAAAGTTCCACACATGCCATGTATTGTTCTATGTACTGTCCATGTAGCGTTAGGTTTAATCAAATGTGTCCATTGCTTAAAATGGTTGAAAGACCAAGGAAGTTAGGATGTAAACAAGTAATGTTTGACCACCTAACCAACCTCCAACTCCTAAGGACTGAAAATGAACTAGGGTTTATGTTGGTGACATGGCTTGAAAATGCTTCTGTGTTCCTATCAAGTGTAAGATCTTTTTCATATTACTGCTTTGACCAAAGTAGAACTTTACTTTCTATACAAGCTCTGGTATTTGACCTTTAATCAAAGTTGTACATTCGGTTGTGTGCTACAAACTTTATTTTTGGAACAAACCCTAAATCAGCCTCTAACCTTGTCAAATAGTGGACACAACTTTGAATCTGATTCTATTTTCCCTTCCAAAATTTTGTCTTAGTCCTTGTTTACCGGTTTTAACATGCCATGTGTTGGGGGTGCTTCCATTTCAATTTTGTGTGGCAACCTCTTTTACACCATAAATAGAAGTTGCAGTACTCTAGAAAACCTAGCATGCAAAAACACACAACTTTGTTTGGACATTTTTTGATCTCCAAGTTTGAAATCCAATTCAGCAAAGGAGGGAGACACGAAAGGAGAGAGACACGGAATAAGGAGACGGATGCGTGGGGCCAGTTGGCTAGAGCTCGGCACCAAGGACCACGGTACCGAGCCGGCCGCCAGGTCACTACCACGCAAGCCTCCACGCCGGCTCCACGCCACACAGCTCGGCGCCAAGACATGTTACCTCAACGTCGTAGGCCATGGCGTCGAGCCCGGATCTATAAAAAATAAAACCCCAAGAGTCTAAATGTAAATATTTTTTTTTTAAAAAAAGGGCAAAAAAAATAAAAAAATTCAGGATGAAGGCCACGCCACGCCATTGGGAATTATCGTTGGGTGGTCCCAAGCATCACGAGACATATGTGGGCGTTCGTTTCCCTAGCAGGGTCAACCATCGGAGGGAATGATCGGCGCGACCTGTCCCGGTGTGCTCGGCCTCGGCGTAATTATCGTGTACTCCGTATCTGCCTTCCTATGACAATGATGGTTACTATTACCATGCCGAATAAAGTGCATTCAAGGTAAATTACATTCTGTGATTTATTCTTTCCAAATATATACTCTGTCGAGAACCAAGACAGCGCTAAAATTAAACCAGCATGAAAACACATGATGCCTCCAGCTGAAATAGAAAATAAGCTAACGTGAGTGCTACAACGGTTGATACTTGATACTGTCGTCGCCTAAAGATGTTTACTTCATGATGTCCGACTCATCAACACATTAGCAGATTTTTTTAACTAAACCCACATGATTTTTATGAGCACGATGACCAGGCGCGCACGCGGCGAAGCGCGTATGTCATGCTAGTATGATTAATCAAAAACAAAATGAATCACTAACAGAAGCAGCTACATATATAATGGACACTTGTCTTCTTCATCAAGAGCAGACACTCTAATGGAAAAATGAACCCTATGGAAATGGAGCTCACGCAGAGCTAGAGCCTGAGGTTTAGGTCTATCTTGCAACTCTGCTCCTCCTCCTCCTCCTGCGTCGGCACTTCATGTGCGCCGCTGGCGGCAGCGCCACTGTCAACGGCGCCGGACCATCGGAGCCCAGACATCGTGGAGTCAAGGACGGCTGGGGCAGGGGCCCTCGACGAGGAGCCGGAGCCGTAGCCGTAGCCGTGAGGCGTGTAGACTGGGCGGTCGGCACCGGTGTGGCGGGTGAGCCCCGCCATAGAAGACTGCGTCTGCGCATGCACGGCCCACCCGTGGTGCATACCGTAGAACGGTGCCGCAGCAGGGCCCCGTCCGAACCCAAGGAACGGCGACGGCCTGCTGCCGCCGGCGGAGTACGGCCAGGCGTGTTGGAAGCGGAGGTGGTGCGGCGGCAGGAAGGGGTCGGCGCCTCCGTACAGCCCGCGCCCCGCCGCAGCTGCTGCGGCAGCGGCCGCGGCGGCGCAGCGCTTGGAGAGCGAGCGCTCGCGCTTGTGCGCGTTCTGGTGGCCACCCAGCGCCTGCGAGGTGTAGAACTTACGCTGGCAGTAGTTGCACTTGAACGAGCGCTTCTTCTCCACGCCACCGGTCGCCGTTGCCGTCCCCGTCGCCGGCGACTTCTCCTCCTCCGCCAGCATTCCCTTCTCCTTACCTTTCCTGGCGCCACCGCCTCCACGGCCTTTGCCTCGGGCGGTTCTGAGCCGAGTGCGCCGAGTAGTAGGTCGAGCTCCTTTGCCGACGACACTTCCTCCTTCTTCCCGGCGCCTGTACATTCTCGTCTCCGTCCTCCGGCTGCTGCACCCCATTCCCTCGACCTCCATGGACGCGGTGCGGGAGCTCGATCCCTTGTCCATATGAATCTCGTTTCACTTTGCACTGGTGTGGAGTTATTGGTCGGGTTCGGTGCCAACTTATAAAAGAAGGAAGGAGCTTAAATGTGGAGATAATCTGGGGGTTAAATGTGGAGATAATCTAGAGGAATTCAAGTTCACCTGCTAAATTTAGAGATCACGCGTGATCACAGGCTGTTAATTTGCTCTTACCAAATCGGCGGGACAGCATGAAAAAATTACGTCGTTTGATTTCGCCGCTCGGCCTCCTGCGCCGATGCTGCCGCCCTACGCGCGCGCCCCCGCCCGGATGTCCTTCTTCTCGCGGCCCTCGCGGAGCTCCTCTCGCCGGCTCTGAAACGGAAGGGTAGGCTGGTCCGCTGCTGGTGGTAGCTCAGTGTATTGCCTCGTCAGCAACTCATCAGTCATCAACAAACCTCCCATGAATTCGCATGGAAATCAACTGGAGACTACAGCTAACTGCAGGAAGAGATTCAAATCCCGATTCTGCCATCTGGGATTGCCATTTGCAAACTTGATTACATCATTAACTGCCGAGACCTGATCTGGACCTACTGCTTTGAAACGCTGTAATCATATCCTCCTCTTAGGCAATAGCCCGCCAGAAGATGTTATGTATACTTTATGATTTTTTTTGTGTGTAATATAAGCGGTTTGGCAGGGATCTCCAGTGTATATATAGAAAGCTGGATTAATTTGGAGTGAATTAAGTTAGTGCATTAAGGACGTTAATAACGTCGACATGTATGGGAGGCAGGGTTTAAATTAATCTGGCTACGTTTTAGGGAGAAGAGCTCTTTGGAATGCTGGTAGGTTTGGCTGTTTGAAATCCCCAACCGGAAATGAAATGGTTTTAGAGCCAGCTTTGAATGACTGCTTGTTTTTTCTTTGTTGCCGATTCAGTTTCCATGCATATCTTCAAATTGTTTCGATACTTATCTACTATTTTAAGTAGGGAACTAAGATCAGCTGTACAAATTTTAGTAGCAACAGTAATTACAGTCAATTCCAGATAGGAACTCACTGTCACTCCATTTAACTTGGTTTTTATTTTATTCTACTTTATCTAAGACTGAGTTTTTCAATGTTTATATCATCCGACTCATAACATTCTTCTAACGTTCAGTTCCGTTGACTTTGACCAAAGAACAACAGGAACAAGTGCTCACCCAAAAAAGGGGCAAATGAACAAGAAGGAAACACGATGCATATGACAAAGTCGGCAACAAACACAGATTTTTTGAACTAGTTCCATGAAGGAACAATGCAAGTAAAGATAAGCTACATGATTACATTTACAAACCCTGGATTAAACCCTAATCAGCTGACCATGCGTATATCTCTAATTCTTTATCGGGGAAAGTATCCGCCTCCGTTGAGAGGCTCTCCTGCTCCACGGCCGCGTGGCAATCCTACGATGGTGGCTGGACGATTGCTCTTCTGTTTGGGCCCCATGTGTCAGTAATCATTTTGGCCTCTCGTGGTTCCTTGGACCTGCCCCTGTGTGTGAGGGCAGTACAACGATGTATTGATGATGGTTTCTATCCTCATTAAATGACTTGTCACGTAGGTAAAATGTTGACATGACAACGTAATTAATGAAAAAAGAGAGCAAAAATCCTAGAAATGGTTTCCTCATGAAGAAATCAGGTCTTCTCTTGACCCAATGCACCAAGAAACCATGAAATCGCCATTGGGGAGAAACCACCAGTTTCCAGGGACTCGTGCCATACTCCCATTGGAGGAAGAAGATAGAGTTGGGAGAGAGAAAGAGAAAATAATTATTATACAAAGACACCTCCACTGTGGAAGATAGTTTCTATAGATAATTTTTGTGTTATGAAAACCGTATCAGTTTTTTCCATTGGGATGCCCTGAGTACCTTTCGATTTCATCTCTCCTACACAGAGGCTTTGGACACCACACGTACGTTCTTTCTTCCTCATGCTCTTCTTCCTATGCTCGACCCATCGACCACCACCTGCCCTACTTCCTCCGCTCAACCTTCGCTAGCCGTCGTTTCCTCCCTATTGGCTCCCCCTCCTCCCAAATCCTGTCCACCGCCGGACCAACAAAGTCCTGCTTGGTTGCTTCCTTCGCACGGTCACCACTGGATGCTCTCGACAGGAACTACTCTTCAACACTAAGCACTCCCCTGCCTCTATCCTACGCCGTTGTGTCCTCAACTTTTCCCTCTCCGGCCTTCCTCTCAACCTCCTGTCGCGTGAAATCCCGTTGTCGTTTCCAAGGGAGGCGGCGCTGCTCTACCCGTCTCATGCTCAGGTTTGCCAGGCATGCCGCCTCAATCTTTCCCCCACGGCCCACCTAAAAATTGCTCCTCCATGCTCCATGGTTACCGCCCCCCTGTCTCCCTCCTGCGCGGCCGTGTGTTCCAACCCCTTGCCGAGCTCCTCTTGGTTCATGGCACTGTTGCTGCTACTACTGCTTCGAATCATATCGGAAGGATGGATGGAGGTAGAGGAGCCCCTGAGGTTGCACTGCACCTGTGGCTCTACGCCTCTAACCTCCTCTAGGTAATCACTAGTAACAACTCACCTGTAATCTTGCTGTTTATTGTGTTCAAACTGCAGGATTTTTCCATCGATGTTGATTACTTCAGCGAGTGTCTACGCTGTGGTAACCATGTCTCTATGTTCGTGTAGTGGCCCATGGCCCACTGCTGCCAATTTCTCCCACTGTGTGTCTGTGCGTATGATCCTGATTGTTGTTAGTGCAAACAAAATTAAATAAGATGTAATGCCTGCCCTCTATGATCTTGTTTTTATGTCGAATTATTTGGGATAAATTTTCAAGATAATATAAAAAGCATACGTTCCTCATTAATAAAAAGTCAATTCCAAATAATATACATTTGTCTAGGTTAGATAAGGTGATAAACTGGCTATTTTCATTTTTCTTAGGTTTTCTATCTTGATAATTTGAATTTTGGCCCTTCAAGCCCTTACCATATGATATTGTCAAGAGTCAAAGTTTACATGACTGACACTTGGAGTGAGTTCATTGAATTAGATTGCACTGGTACATCTGATGAGAAACTGATGCGGTTTGGAAAGAGTCAGATAAATGAAAGAATCCCCCTGTTCCTCAGCAAATCATTCATTTTTACTAGATTTCTTAGGTGTTTTTACTGCCATTTAACTAGGTGAGACCAGCTTCTAATGTTTGTTACACAAGAGGGTGGCAGGAGCATCTAAAAATGCATACTAATCATGAATCTCCATGCCAAGATAATTATTTGTGCTCAATTGTAAGTATAACATTTCAGTCCAGTTTTGTAAGTAATTTTAAGTACATCAAGTTCATCTTGATAAATATTCACTTCTGTGTTAAATGCTTAAATGCATTATGTGTATAGGAACTTCTCTCTAAAGGATTAGAAATGCTTGACCAGTTTGCTGCCCACGTGAATCAGCTAAATGACACCTAGCAGACTTGTTCCCAACAATTACTACAATCTATACAAATTTCCTATATATGGGCAATTTAGAGCAAAAATAAACGAGAACATCCATATTTATCCAAAGAAGCTGCTAACTTCCTCAGAGGAGTACTCTGAATCAGTATCGTCGCCATATCCCTGCTGTAGGTGCTTCTGCATCGAATTTTTCCTTCAAACTATGCATTATTTTCTACTGGATACTTCTCATTGGTAACTTAATCCCCCCTAAGCTACAAATTCCCGCAAACTTTCAATATCATACTTTATATGGAAAAAGCTTGTTTGAATTGAAATTGTGCAATGCATTACTAAGATATCTACTTCAACAGAAATGTATCCCTTTTCCAAATCTGGAAAATGAAAAAGTTCCTATTGTTTGCTTTAGACCCCAGAAGTGTTGCATGCACAAGTAGCACAATGACAATACTTAAAACTCTACCTTCTGCAGATTCCTGTTTCACTCGTATTGACATTTTCTTGCTTTCGGCATCCTGTTTGTTGCAGCCTTCAGGGACACGATTTAACCAAGGATTTTCAGATACCAAATCAAGTGTTGCAAGAGAAGATCCAAGAACAATGAAATTTACATAGATACTTACCCCATCCTCTCATTCAGTCATTGTAGCTGTCGATGCTAGACACATCTCAATTGTGTCCTCTGCCGGAGAAGCGCGGGCGGCCTCGGCTTCTGTCGCTGTAGCGGCGTCGATGATCTGCTCCTCACCAAGGTTTAACGCTGCAGGCAGTTCCCGGAGAAGAGCTCGTGGTGGTAGGCCCTAGATCTAGATCTCCAAGAGTGGCCACCCTTCTTCTTTGAGTCGACTTGAGCTCTTCTGCATGTACCACCATCTGCACTCATACGCACTTGAGTGAGAGGCAAGTTTTTCTTGTTAGCACCAATCGCAAATCTTGAAAGCTTCTTCGCAGCTCCAGCTTTCGATAATGCTCGTTGCTCGACCTACTATTCTCCTTTCCAATGTCGATTTGGGTGAACTGTGTGCTTTTCACTCCCCGCGCATACTTTGACAGGTTGTTCATTTCAATATTGCCCTTCATTATTGACTGAGTAGCCGAACAAATGCTCTCTGCTAGTTGGCACGAACCTTGACGTCTGGGACATTTCCACGGACAGGATAAACCTGGCGGTCACATGTACAAACGAAAAATCCAGTCTTGTTGGCAATGGCGCCTTCTTCTCAGCTTCGTCACGAACAACTTTTTTTCCAGAGGTTTCATTTGTCAAATGAAATCAGCAGGCTAGCAATGAAATTTTACTGGATGAGATATATGACGTGGAGTGGATTTATAAAAGTTTTGGCTTACATAAATATATATAGTTTCATGTGCCGCTTGTATCAAGCATAGTCTGTAACACCACACCACCAATAGTTAAGGAAATGTCCCCCTTGTCATTCTTACTTCTAGCTTGCAAAATGCCCTAACTTATACTGTTTACTTTCAAACCCGTTATCATAAATGTTATAAGTGAAAAGAAAAGTTGCACAATGAA